TTAAAAAAAAAAAAAATCACCAGTGAAGTTGCTATCGCCTGCCAAGTATGCTTGGGCCACGGTGGGGCTGGCTGTGGCTCAGAGGACCTCTCCTGGAGCCTAGCAGTTAAGGAAACAGATCACATCCTCGATGGCAAATGATCTCCCCTGACCTCTCATCTGGAAGGGAAAAGCTGCTACCTGCTATTGCCTCTCTTCTTCTTCTTCTTCTTCTTCTTCTTCTTCTTCTTCTTCTTCTTCGTCTTCTTCTTCTTCTTCTTCTGCTGGATAATGAAGTCCCCATCTGTAGGGGAGCATGTGTCTCTGGTAGGCATGGCAGGTCTGTCCTTCTCTCTAGAGACGATAGGGCGAGGTGGTTCCGGTCCTTTCTCCTGAGCCCTAGAGAGATCTCTAGATAGTGTGTTATTCACAGTCACAGTGTGGGATCGCCATATACTCATGGCACTTCTGTAATGGGCCCAGGGAGTTTCCGAGGCCCATGAGTTGCCCTAACTGTATAGAACTGGCACTGAGCAGAAGGGGGAGACTGTTGGAAGACAGTGACTGTGGCAAGCATTGGCCTCTAAGTGACTTGATCACACAGAAGAATGGGAGGGCCTCTGTGTGAGTGGCACTGCTAGAGAGCCAGAGGTCCACAGTGCGTGCTCTTGGGAAGAGGGAACCAGCCAGTGTTTAATCCCCACTCCTGAGAAAAGAATGGGGGAGACCTGCTGACTTCCCGGGACCAGTCTGGGAATGTCCCGCCAATGAGTCTCTCCTCTAACTCGAATGTCCCCTTTTGCAGGCTGGCCCCTCCATGGTCACAACGGTGCTGTAAACCCTCCTGCACACAGGGTTCATGCATTGTTATTCTCAGTCTTTGCAGTGGTCCAATGTCTTGAGCTCAAGCTCATCTTCCCAGCAGGTTTCGCTGCTGGCCTCACCCTCTCATCCCCTGGTTCAACAGTTTGACGTGTCTCCACCTGAGAATGCTGTACAAACCGCAGACACTAAGTTCAGTCGAGTATGTTTCCTGTCAGTGGAGACTCCCTGTGGTCCCTACATGCCAAAGGAGATGAGGTGTGCGTGTGCGGCAGGGGTGTGCGGAAGCAGGCAACAGGCTCCCTCATAAGCTGGGCCTGTAGTACAGCAGCCTGCTGATCTGAATCTAGGGCGGGCCATAAAGATGAAGCATGGCTAGATTTTCCTACTTCTCTTGAAATCTGTCACCAGTCCATGACAGCAAAAATAGTCCCCTTGGGCATCACAATCCATTTCTTCTGATTTTGAGAAATTTCTTATTTCTCCCTCTCCTCTACCCCGAAAGACTACTCAGGCTATATCAAAGTCACTGTGTAGCTGAGGATGACCTTGAACTCTTGATCCCTTGACTCTACCTCCTGAGTACTAGAATTACAGGAGTGTGCTACTCACCTGGCCTGACTTTTGAGATGCTGCTGACAATGGAAATGTCATCCTAGTGGCAACAGCTGTAAGTAAGAAGCACGGGCAAACAGAACACTGGCTCTTCTTGTTTACTGTTGTCTTCTCTGCTTTTAGCAGTTTACCCAAGCTAGGTTCAAAATGGAGGGAGGCGTGAGGATCCAGACCAGACTGCTTCCCAGGCTCCCTGCAGCCTCTGTCTTGCTGTTGCTGTGGGGAACATAGGGAACTTGACGAGCTCCTCCCCAAGAGCCTGACTGGTAACCAGCAGTGGCTGGATTCCAGAGTGGCTAGTGGCATTTTCATTGCTCCAAGGAAATTGATAGGCTCGGACTGCCTGATTCCAGAGGTCAGAGAGCTTTACAAGGAGGCACAGCCATGTGCACTCATCTTCCTTGCTTCTACCACATCCTCAGCATGAATTCCCCAATGCAGGACTCCATCTCCTCTCCTCCTGCCATCCAAGAACCAGAGACAGCCTGGCTGCAGGCTCATGCTATGGACTGTTCGTTAACCATGTGGCCTTAAACCTCCCTTTCCTCAGACCTGGAAAGAAACCCAACTCTCATCAGAGCCCTTAGTATGGAGTTACAACTGTCATCAATCCCCGGTATATTGCTATCTGTATGTCCTTGGTGTTAGTAACATCAATCAGTCCCTTACTCAAAACAACCATCTATCCACCTCAGTGTCCACCTTGAGCCCAGAACCCAAAACATATTAGAAAGCATGTTTCTGTTGGGATTCTAGGAAGGATAGGTCGGTGAACATAGAGGTGACATAAGCGGGGGCTCTGTGAGAACAGAGGAGGTGGCACCACAAGTCAGCAGCTTTCTAATCAGGACCCCGGGAATCCTCACAAGCCACATAAGGCATCGTCTCCATGAAGGAAGGCCACATGATTATCACTGCAGAGCCACCATGGCAGTGCAAAGGGAAGAGACAACCATCTTTCCAAGTCATCCTAAGTTAGGCTTCTGACAGGGGAAACCGAGAGCAGATAACTTCTCTAAAACAGCACAGCCATGATGAGGGCTGAAGTTTCTGTTCTATTTCTCCTCTTAGCACCCAGGCCTGGTTGTTAAGTGGAGCTTTAGATCAAATCATCAACAAGATGAGCGGACCACAAGGAAAGGGTCAGAGTCAGGACCATTTCTCACATACTGTTCTTCCTGATAAATCCAAATCATCCAGGGTCCACCTCAGGTTTTTCCAGTTGCCAATTTCTAACTAAAAATTCACTTCTAATGCGTGACTGACAATTGGCCCAAGCTGGCCAATGGTAAACCAAGCAAAGAAAACTATTAGAAAATTAGTTTATAATAAAGTTCCCCAATGGAAGCATCCGCAAACAAACAGTGATTCCTGTTTATTCTACTCCCATGTCACATAACCGAGATGGGTGAGGAGCCTCTGTCTGCTCTCAGCTCAGACCTTGCACATTGCACAAGCAGAAACAAAATAAAACCCAGGCAGCTCAGCACTGGGCTAAGATGCCAGGCTTTTCCTCAGGGTCCATTTCCTCTTCCTGCCTTCTGATTTGTAGGAGCCTCTGCCCAACTCCATTCCGCAGCCTGGACCCTGCAGCTGAAGACTCTGATACTCTCCCAGCATTTGCCTCCACCATGATTCCATCAGAAGGCTGCTGCTCTCAATTGACTGGACTTGTCAAGAGCTTAGTTAGTGGAGGCAGATGGCATCTGGTCACAGGTCCCACACGGTGCTCTTTCTCCTGTGTGCTTTGGGGGTTGATGAAAGATGACATGGTATGGAGGAATGCATCAATCCACACTCTTTGAAGAATGGATATTGAGATGGGATGATGAGCCTGCAGGTTTACTTCTGGGATTCGGTGAAGGACTGTATGGGAGGGAATCGGAGGCAGGAGACACCCGGAGCCCACATTATTAACAAGCTGATGATCACCATGAAAGGAGCCAGTGAAGGGACAATGGAGACTTGAGCAGGCAGACATTCAGGGCAATTCTAAAACAGGTCAGGCCAGGCCTGCAGAGGGCCTCTGAGTAAAGGCTGCATTTTGCATGGCCACCTCAGCCAAACTGGAGGCCAACAGCTATGGGCTGTCAGCCTTGCATGTCAGCATGTTACCTTAGGGATAATCAGGAGGAGCAGGTTCTTTCTGGCCCACAGAGAGGAATACAGTTAGTTTTGCTCTTCCATTTCTTCGGGTGCTTGTCTGTCTGCAGTTCCCAGAGTTTCATCTCCTTGCTCTGAACACATCACTGTTTAAAAACAGGCAATGGCTGTTGCTACAGAGGCAAGCTCCAATGCCTTGGTCAAACACCATGACTACTCACAGCCTCGTCTTGTCCTACACTGAAAACCCACGTGTGTAACGGGCAGCAGGTACACCCTAGGCTGCAGAGACTCTAGGTGAATGCGAGTTGGATCACCGTTGACTTTGTGACTGATCACAGTGCTTTGTGTACCATCCCACTCCCCCGCTAAGACTCAGTCCGAGGCCATGCATGTTTTAAGGGTGTGGACAGAGTAAGCCACCATGGAGACACCGTGAGGCTCTGTTATACCTGTCTCCGTTCTCGGGTCCTCACTCAGAAAGGTGTAACAACCTGCCGTCTTTGTGATGGCTTGGGCCAAGCCTACATAGCCTTTCTCTGGTACTTTAGAGTTTTTCAGTTTCTCTGCAGCTACTTCATTTCTGCCGTTGCTTGCTGAGCCCCCATGCCATACTCAAAGGCATGGCTTTCGCTCGTCTCCGTCTCCCGCCTGTGGCAGCTGCCAAGATGCTCAGCCTCTCTGCCCTGTGCTTTTCCTTTTAAATGCTAATAAAATTATCCTCAATTGTAATTGTCCTCAGATAATAACACAGTATAGCTAAGAATCAGGCACAGTCCCTGTACTTAGGAAGGCGTCACTCAAGGCCTTGTACGAATGCCACTTTCTGAGACTTCCAGAACATCCCCAGACGGGACAGCAGGATTGACTGCTATCTTTAATAATACTGCTTATTCCAAGTGTGGGCTTAGCTGGGCTTCGGGTCTGCTGAGCGACCCGCCAAACAGCTTGCATCCCCACACCCGTTTCTGTCTTCTCCTTCTCCCACTTTGGCATCATGTGTGTCTGGGCGCGCCCGCAAGGACCACATCTAAAGAGAATAATCTTCTATGTCTGTTGCCATGACACAGAGGTCAGAAGATGATATCAAGTGGTTTGGCCTTCAGGATTGGAACTCACTCCTAGGTCAGCCACCCAGGGGTGGCAAATGGAAGAAGATAAAGTAAGTAGTAGCATCACAAAAGCCCCATCTGTGCTGTCTCCCCCCACCCAATCTGGTGAGCCTACCGACACTCCCATGACTTTAAATTCATGGAGCTGGGTACAAAGCACACAAAAAAATTCTATGACCTTCTAGTAAATTTCATCTGTGTTCCGGTGGGAAGGGCAGACTGTGGAATTATCAAATTATATTTACTTTGAAAGTAATGATTTCTACATTATATGATTATCTGTGGACTGTTATTATTCTAAATTTCAGAACCAAGCCACAGGCTCACCACATAGGCCAACCTTAACAAAAGAACTGGAAGAAGTCAAAATTCCACTTGTAAAATCATTTTATTGGTATAAATATACATATGAATAAAATACTTTCAGCCTGTAATGTAAGTGAATATTTGTGAGATGTTTTATAAAGAGTAGTATTTAGACTTTTTTTTTTTACAGGTGACAAAAATTTTCTCTTAAAAACCACACATTAAAAACTAATAAGGAAACAGAAATTAAAGGCCTTCAAAAAACATGAATATCCATAAGACCTCATTCCAATCAACTATATACACAAATCTGGGCTTCTCATACTCTGTTTTCAGCTGGGCTTGCTGATGGTCTATAAAGACTATCAACCAAGCTTTAAATGTACAGTTCTACACAGGGAAAGAAGTGCCCCACAGAAGAACATAAGAACAATGCCCAAGATCTAATATATATATATATATATATATATATATATAATTTATACAAATTATTTATTAGTGTGCTCTGTTAATATAATTACAATGTGCAGTTGCATACATCAAGAATAAATTGCTATATCGAGTCGTGTGTGAATCTGACACAAACACGCCCTGCGGCGCCCCAGCGTCTCCTGGATAGCTACTTGGGTGTGAGTCCAGTTACGTCATTCATTTTGAAAAAAAAACTCGCCATGCAGGGCAATGTGTTGCTGCCTCAGAAATTCAAGTAGGGCCATGGTATAATTGCTGGCTTTTTGTTGAAGGCATAAGAAACAGTGTTTAGAAATCGAATTTGGGAAGACCAAAAATGTGCTTTGATAATCAAAAAGTGGACTTTATATATGTACATATATATGTATGTATATATGTATATATATATATATATATTTCATAGAAAAAGAAGAAAAGGAGAGAAAGAAGAAAGCACCAAGAGAAGGAAAAGGACGCACTGCTCCCGACTCCTCTCTGAGGGCTGAGAAGAGCACCCTGCACGGGAAGGCCTGGGGTGGGCACCGTTACACAAAAATAAACTCTTTTTCCACCTCTTCTCCAGAGTCACTTGACTTTCTCCCTTGGTGACCATCTTTGCCAGAGGACCGTTGCTTCTGTTCTTGGTATTCCTGGGCCTGTGGGCCCCAGCTTCTCCTCGAGACTGAAACAGAAGGCAGGGAAGAGGGACTCTTTATTGACAGGGCAGTAACAGTACCTGGCCAACAGCTGGGAGTGAGGGGCCAGGGTGGGAGTGATCATGGTGGACTGTTTCAGAAACAAACCTGCTGTTGCACTTAGACACCCTATAGAAGGAAGTCCAGGACAAACCAACGAAACCACAAGCAAGTGGACACAAACACACACACGCAAGACCAGTCTATGACAGGGTGAACCCCGCATAGATGTGGACGAGAACCGGAGGAGGAGATGGTAGGCAGGCAGAGGGAGAAGCCATCAGGAGTCGCCGAGGCTGCTCTGAGCCAGGTTACCTCCACAGCCAAGTCTGCCCCTTCGGACAGCACAGAGGACAGGGCACACAGAGGCTTGCACACAGAGGTGCCGGCTGGACAGGGTTCCAGTGCCATGCCTTCTGCAGATGGCTGAAGGCTGGTTACTCCTGCAAGGCAGGCAGGAAGCCAGACAGACTTTTTTTTCTGTGCCTCAGATCACCTGTGCTTCACTCCCTACAGATGAAGTCTGTGACAAAGCATTAAATAATGCCCGTGACAGCTTCAACCCCGAAGGTAAAGGACTCATTCCTATTGCCTGCTTCTGACTGGTAGTTATTCAGCAATATGGTAGGGTTCACACAGCGGTGAGGACTAAGCTTGGTTGGAACTGGGCTTTTGTTATGCATCTGGAACTTTCTCCTTCATGGCTTGCTGCTCTTCCCAATTACACAGGCAGGTTTTGCCAGTTTTTCTCTAAAGCCCATGCTCTCTCTACATACATCCTGGTTGCTCTACCACCGCACCTGGGAAAGATTCATAATATTTAATAAATATTTAGGAAAGCTATTAAATATTACTCCCATGTCTACTGCAGAGATGCCATCTGAACTAAAAATACCAAATTCCATTTGGAAAGCTGCTTAAAGAAAAAGCACAGCTACTCTGTCCCTCAAATCCCAGGAATCCAACCAGGAACATAGTCTTCAGTCCTGGGAAAGACACACAAACACGTGATTCACTTGATGCTCCTGATCACTTCGATTTTTATACTATGTTAAAAAAAATCATCTTGTCAGGGGTCTGTGGCTTAAACGAATACCTCAAGTTAATGTTTCAGGAAGGGAGACTTTGTGAAATCTATACACAAATATATCCAGGATCTCTTGCAAACTGAGTTGCCACGAGCAGATTTAACAAAAAGCACTCTGATTTTCAGTTACTAGCATTAAATTGAAATTACCCAAAATCCTGAAGGGGAGGGGGCAAACAACCTTTTCAATGTCACTATAAAAACACGTAAGCAAATTGTTTTAGAGGTCTGCTGTGCGTGTGTGTACATATGAGTGTGACTGTGCGCAGGTACCACAGAGGCTGGGTTCACAGCCACCTGATGTGGGGGGCTGGGAGCCAAACTCCCGACCTCCACAATACTGGACGTACTGAACATGCCTCTGGTCCCTTAAAAATCTGACTTCCTTTTGCCAGTTGCTTTGGGTAAGTTCTCAGAGAGGGTTGGGACATAAGAAACAGATACAGCTGCTTTTTAAAGCTTTTATAAGGAGAAAAAAAAAAAAAAAACCTCAATGTACTTGTGTAATTGGTCCTTTGGAAGCTGTTGATAAGCCAGGTTTGGAGAAAAAAAAAAAAAAAAAAAAGATGAATGTCTCTAAGTATTTTGCTCTTCAATTTGAAGGGCTCACCCATTTGATGCTCACATCCATAGTTTCCTTAAAGCCTTCAGCCTGGGTGTGTGCTAAGAACATTGGGAGCAGAGAAGACTCAGATGATCATCTTGAGGGTGTTTGGCAAGAAATCCAACCTCAAAAGTAAGGGGCCTTGTGTTGTCTCCCAGAACTGTTGCATTCTAATTTAAACCAAAACCTTGATCCTCCATCAGAGGCAAATGGGAAAAAATGTCTCTCACTGCAGTGGGAAATTCAGGGGAAAATAAGCAAGGTGGGAGGGGCTCATCTGTCTTCAGAGAAAATGCATTTGTTTGAGACCCTAGATTCAGATAACAATCGAACTTTTCGTCCTTTCTAATACCTTCACTTCCTGGACATGCAGTCCAAATCCACCTTATATGAGCTGACACAAAAATGCCTTGCAAATATGAAGACACTCGTGTAACCAAAAAGTTTGTATCAGGCAAAAACAGAAGTAACCCTGTATAAACTAGGGCACACCAGCAAGCATGAATGAAATTTAGAGGGACACAATATGATGATCTTCTTAGAAAAGGTAGGCTGTCTTTTCAAGTCCAGCCAGGCACAGGCTTTCCGAGTTGATACTGGGCTTTTGTGTCCTTCAGATTAGGAAACTTGTGTGTGTGTGTATATGTGTGTGTGTGGGGGGGGGGAAGGCAGCAAAATGGGCCAACAGGAAGGAGGTAAGAACAATCATCACCAAGTTAACCCACTCCTTCCTGGCTGATAACAGAGTCAGTCTTAGCCATGAAAGTAACAACCATCATTTAACCAATGTGGTGACTAAGGGAAAGGTAACACAGTTTCAAGAAGGCTAAGAACACATTTCACTATGATAGGAACATTGAACATATATTCTAAAATAAGGGTGGGCCAATGGCAGAGCTGTGTGAGGTCCTGGGTTTGATACTCAGGACCACTGGGGGAGTGTTCATTCTAAACACATTTACCTTCATTGATTAAGTTGTGATTGTGTGTGGTAAGGACCCTAGTAGCAGCTAGGCATGTCCTTAGTATTGGAAGCAGGAAGAAATAACCAAGCATAGAACTTGAAGAAAGAAGCTCAGCACTCTATTGATCTTCCAGCCTGTTTAGTACTGATCCTTAATGCAAAAAGCTTTGTAGAAGGAATGTTCCTTGTTGAGTCAATTTCCAGTCCTTAGGGAACAGCTATTTGGATTGCATGCAATTAAGACTCTAATCACAACGATATGAAAATAGGTTTTTGTCAGACTTTGGTTAAAGAAGGATCTAAATAGAATTAAGTCTGCTTGCAAGTTAAAAATCCAGAATTAAAAAAAATATATATTATAAAATTTAGACTTTCACTAATCCTTCCAGACTTCTTCCTACACTTTGATTTAATACAAGGTAAAAAGAAAAAAAAAAAAAAAACCTGCATTGTTTGATTAAACTTTTCCAGTTGAGAATGCTAGGCTGTCCTGGTGCAGAGTCCACCTGTCTGTGCATGTATTTATCATCATCTCATGTGCTATTGATGGATAAAAGATACTCAGTAATATGGACTGAATAGTAACATATTAAGTGGAAATAATGGCTTGCATATTCACATCTTGTCTGAAGTGGAAATAAGTGTTGCAAAGAGCCTCAAATACAAGGTTTTCCATTCTTGAAGATGATTCAACTTTGCATATGTAGATATGCAAATTTTAACCATTCTGAAATATTCCTACAGACTTGAAATTAGAGATTCAGATGCCAGCTTGGAAATGATTTTGTAATTCCAGGGAGATATATACCTACCAGAAGAAAACAGGATATTTCCTTAAAATAATATTCTGTAGTTGGCCTTGCTTTTTAAAAAGCCTTTCTAGCAATAGTTGGAATATATCATGTGACTGCTAAATTTTTCCTGAAGAATTTTGTTTATTGTTTTGAGACAGAGTTTTATGCTATTCTCAACCCTCTGGGTTGCTGAAGAGGACCTTGAACTCCACACCCTCCCGTCTTTACCTCCCAAGTGCTGGCATTGTAGGTGCGAACCACTATGGTTGTCAGCTCTTGATTCTTACAGGGGAAGTGGGAAGTAAAACCTGGATCTCGGTCAGGGGAGAAAGTCCAGCCAAACACTAGCTCACAGACCGTGAGACCCGGCAAGTGTCTGTGGCTGAAGGCTAGATTGCAGGAGTAGCAAGGGACTCCCAGAATAGGATGGTACGAATAGAAAGCTCAGCAACACAGACGAAGCCAAACAAAAGCAGCTATTTTCTCCAAGAAAATAGAATATCTGCTGGCAAAAATATCACATCTCATAAACCAGAGAGGAAAGGACATGAAATCAGTATCAAAATAGCCTCACAGTTAAACCATGCCAACCATGATCAAATATGGAGCATGCTTTCAGAACAATAGCTTCCGTTTGTTTCATGAACACAAGGCTTGGGAAATGAAGAAAGCTGGCTTAGTGGCAACAAAATTGCTCTTAAAAGTCTGGAGAGGACACACCATGATTCTGTCAATTGCTCTGCTATATGCATTAAAAACAAACTAACCAGAAACTATTCAAAAAGCAGAGGCTATGGCGTTCTCAAAGGCGAAGGCAAGATGAGGAGAATAGGCACTAACAAAACCAAACAAACGTGTTCAACATAAATCACTTTAACTGAAGCACCTATGGCAATTTTGGGGTTCCCTATTTCAAGAAATCAAGGTAGAAAAAGCTAATACAAGATGGTCCCATTTAATCCTACCAAAATTTGGCTCAACCCATAAGGAGAATGGTAAACTACTGGGGTCATGGAAAAGTCAGGGGGCTTTTTCTCACTGCTCTTCTAGGAGCTGGCCTTTCTCTGTAACTATCCCCTTTTGTTCTGTCTTACTGGCTGACAGATGTGGTCCCGGGAGCGGGGAGCTTCCTGGGTTCTGAGTGCTTTCAGTGGTTCTTGATTTTGCACCACAGGAGCCTTGTTAATAAGAGATGTAAGTCAGTGGATCTAATAGTTAGAAATGTAAATTTCCAGGATCCAGAAACATCCATGTCACCTCAGTTGTACTTAATAAAAGACAACAGAGACTTTGTCCTATAAAGTCTCAAAAAATAACTCACTCCTCAAAAATGTTGTTAGGATTCACTGATGTGACTTTCTCATGATTGAAATTAAGTTTTTCTTTCTTTCTTTCTTTCTTTCTTTCTTTCTTTCTTTCTTTCTTTCCTTCTTTCTTTGGCTAATATCAGACTTCATTTCTTTTAAAACAAAGTATTACTGTGGTTCTGTGATAAAAAAATACACCTACTACACAGGGAGTCAGTTGAGAACATGGAATTCTAGCTGAGCCATACAGAGGCTGTGAGGCAGGTGCGGGGCCCTACATTCCAGGCTTAGCACCACATCCGCCTACCATGTCCATACTTTCCCCAGGACAGATGCTACTTGGCCAGGAGAAAATGAATGCTCATCCGTACATGACTCATTTCCCTCGCTCTGTGGAAGGGTGGCTCTATGGGCCATCCCTTAACTCTACCCTGTTATCCAGCTAGCTAATACCCGAGTAGCAGGTAAAGAGCCATAGGGTCCTCTGGTGGCACTGGCTTGTAAGCCAGGCCCTGGATGTTCTTGCTGATAGTGAGTTGGTAGGGATTTTGAAGAGTCTTGTATCTGTCTCCAAGCACATGCTCTAAAAATAAAATAAGCTTTCCCTACTATAAGTCACTCTCATCAGCTTGGTTCCAGAATGCAGAGAGAATATGAAGGTCATGGCGTTCAGTACATTGGAGTGCTCGGCCTCGTGCCTGACCACAGGCACATAAATTCCCTCATATGTGAATCTCTGATAATGTTTTATGAGAAGAAAATAACTTCACTCCAAGGGCACGTCTATTCTTTTTTTTTTTTTTTCTTTTTTCTCAATTTGGTAAGTTTTCATTGACATGAATTGTGCATGTGGTCATCGGAAGGCATTTTTCCCTAAGTTAGCACTACTGGCTCCAAAATTATCCTCCAGAGGGTAACACTGGATAGATGTCTCCACTTTGTGTCTCTCGGGACGGTTCTCACTTGAGAAAAATTTACCGAAGTGCCCAGTGGAAGACAGCAGAAAAAGCGAGTGCTGACAAATGCAATGAATGCAATCGCCTCTCAAGGTAGAAAGTAATAGCTTAGATCCATGTTCTATAGGGGGAGGTACTCTCTTGCTCTGAATTTCTAGCTTAACTCCATTGAAAACTTAAAGGAAAAAATAAAAATAAAAAGGAGTAAGAAATGCAACCGAAAATACAAAAATTAACTTTCATGCTCACTGGAATTTGAGCAGACAAATCCCTAATGTACGTTGAAGCTCCCCATAATCCAGTTTTAGATTTTGATTTAATGTTTTCCTCCCACAGAGGGACCATCCTGTTGCCACATAAAGTAAGAATTAGGTCCTATGAAGTATCTGACCCAGCCCCCACCAACAGCTACTTAATTAAAGCTCGTTTGTTAGTGCCAGTTCATCAGCTTCGGGTCAGCGAGGGATGAAAACTGAAGGCTCTAACCATTTGTTGGCTGTGACTTCCTGTACCCAGGTGCATTCACTTCCTCTTCCGCAATGGTGAAGTAGAGTTTTGAAGATCTTTTCCCTCTACTGGAAGGCTTGCCACTGTCATGATCTGAATGCCTTTTGAAATAATCTCCTCTTTGCACTACTAAGGAAAAGGGATCCGTTTTACCCTTTAGAGTAGCAAATACATCACTGTATTGACATCCATGTTAAAACGATTACTATTAAAAGTTAGATATCAGCTCATCCACCCCAAGTTAGGATTCAAAGGACTTAAGAGTGTTGGTCCTGGGCATAATCACAGTTGTCTACAGAATTCAACAGCCAACATTATGGAAATGTGCAAAATGAGGTGAGTTCTGATCCTGCCCCAGAAAGGAAGTAGTAACAGAAATGCCCCACTTATTATCATTCTGATTCCATGATGGGTTAACAAAAATCACATTCACTATGGAATAATCTGGAAGAATTACAGTCATTACCTGTTTCAAAAATGAGTTGGGCACGCTAGTCCAGAGGAAGGCAGAGAACAAGGAAATGAAGTAACCAGCATAAATAATATGCAACAGGAAGAGACAATGGGGATGGCTTCTAGAGAGAAAGGCGGGGCTCTTTGATGAGTGGGTGCCATGGGCTCTACCCCCACTGATGACCAGCTAGTCCAAAGCCGATGTCAAAATCTTTCCCGCCCCTCAACATTCGAAAGCTGTGCTCGGATCTTGCGTATTTTCAGCCTGACATCAGTATGCGGAACCATGTACCTGTCACGGGTTCCTCCTGAGTTCAGACAGGAAAGTATCTTCAGAGCTCTGCAGCCTGGATGAACCCACAGTCTGTGAAGCGTCACTAGCATTTGCTCTTGCTGGGAGGGAAGGCCTAATTCAAATGCCTCCCCTAATCCTGGAGTTCTCGAGGGCTGTAACTCCTATTTAGAATTCCTCTTTTTTTTTTTTTTTTTTCCCCACAGCAGCTCTGAGGTCGCTAGTGATGTCCTATGCCACCCATGCTGTCACCAGAGGCTCCAGGACCCATTCTTACTCCTGAGAGCTGTGATCACCTATCAGGGTATGTCCAACTTTTTGACACTCGGGAACCATGCAATTGAGGTAAAAACAAAACAAACCCCCACACCACAAACACCTGCCGAAAATCCAACTCCGTGAAGTAAGCTTATCTCGCATGTTATGTTGAGCTACAGTCTTATCTATTCCCAGCCAAACTCAGCTGCAGGTGGTCCTGGGGCTACAGAGTGGACATCCCGACCGGTTATTATTTTCAGAAAAATACACTATTAAGAAATTTCCTAAACTCAGCTCTCTGGCCCCCACGCATGCTGTTTTATGTAAATCCTCCCACGTTCCAGTCTTTTTGACAGGATGTACATTCCCACACATCACTACCTTCCCCTCCCTGTCCTCCCAATTCAAATCCTCTTAGACATTTTCAAAGCTTCCTTAAAAGCTAAGGAGTAAAGCCAGAAGGTACAGAATGGAAAGACACAAAGGGGGCCAATGCAGAGGATCTGTGTGGGCCGCTCAGCTGGGAGGGACTATCAGGGACTGGGGTGGCTTTGAATAACACCATTAAAGGTTCTTCTCCGCAGTGACTCCCAAAGCTCTGGCTGTGATACCAAGTACAGCATCTGTCCCCTCATTGTGAAATAGTAGGAGAGACTTCCACCTAGCGGGTAAATTTGCAGAACAGAGACAGAGGAGCAAACAGTGTTTTTTTATTATTATTCTTAAATTCCTAAGCCATAAGGATAACAGGCAACTGTGCCTTCTATTAACTTTAACCTAAGACTATTACTAAGAAAAGAAAACAGGAGCTATGAGAGCCAGGTTGCCGACACAATCCTAAAATTCCAAACAAATACAAAGTTAACAACGCAACCCAGACCACAGAATGGATCCGGACATGGTGGCCAGTAGCCTTTTTACAGGGCACATCTGGTGCTGAGCCAGCATGTTGTGACACTCTGCCCAGAAGCCAACTGTGCATTTGAAATAAGAAAGGAAGGCAAGGCATAGCAACTCACTCCTGAAATCCCAGCACTGGAGAGGCAAAGGCAGGTGAGTTACCCTTGTCTCAAAAAAAAATAAAAATAATAAAATAAAATAACACAAAATAAAAAGTAAATAAATAAAATAAGTAGGAGAAATGAAAGAAACATTATAAATGCTACCGTTACCCTGGCCTGCCTCACCCCTGGTTAGAGACTCACTCTGTTCCTGGGGTGGGGCAGCATGCAAATCATAGGAAACCAGCATTCCCACTTCCAGAAACTAGAGGGAACACAGTGGGCGCAGTGGTGCCCAGGGAGTGTCCAAACAGGCGCCACACTTCTGAGGAGGCAGAATATTTACTCATGACCCTGAGAGCACAGCGAACTTCAAGATCCCACGGGGCACTCCTGAGCCATGAGGAAGTTAATGTTCTACCCTTCAGCCGCCCTTCAAGTGGAGCAATGGTGACATGCTAGAAGGGATGCTTTCCTCAGAAATAATGGGACCCAGAAACCTATTCAAGATTGTGTCCTAACATGCTGCGGGCCAGCTAACAAGTATCTGGCAATTACTCCTGTAGAGAAGGTAGGCCGTTGGTTAGGTGGCTTGGCTATTCTTTTCATTCTTCACAAAGTCCTAATGTCAGACATGATGCCAATTCATGTGCCCACTCTGGTTCCCAAATTTAAACCCAAGGGATGCTGACTTGAACTCCAGGACACTGGTTAAGTCTGAGATTAAGTTTTTCCTTTAGGAATGATGCTTCTTGGGAAGAATAAAGCCAGAGGGAAAAATGTTCTTACCTTCCTGGGAAAAGTTCCTCGGACTGGACTGGGAGCTGTTCTGTCCATCACGCTCCTTGTCCAAGGGTACTTTTTTGATGACAGGTGGAAGAAGAGCAACTTTAGGGGAACTAGGGCCAGATGGAGACTCTGGGGTGTCTTCTACAGGGGTACAAAGACACAAAAGAACTGTTCTACAAATTGTATTCCACTATAAGGCAGGACATAAGCCTGTAAATCTTTACATACAGATGATCAATTAAAAAAAAAAAAGAAAATGAAAAACTACCACGGAATGTTTCCAGCCAAAAATTACTTCTGTATTTCTGCTAAGCAAAGTAATCAGCATTCATGAACATTGATGGCAACTATGAAAAGTTGAAATACATATAAATATGAATCTATGCTACAAATTTTCAATGAGCTAATATTTGAAAATAAGACTGTAAGTGATCCATAGGCATCTTGGGCCTCAGACACAAGGTTGTTGATTGGTTTAAAACAAGCATTGTATACAACACAATGCCTTACCAGTTGTCAGAGCTAGTAAGTAAGTCACAATGTACATGTACATACATACACATATGTACTATACCTACATACATGGACTCCAGTGCCCTGGGAGTAATTTGAAATCACGGATTTTTTTTTTTGACCCCCCAAGGACTTCAGTTTCTGGACCTATAAAGAGATTAAATAATCTCCTGTGCTAAAAAGGGATAAAGACAGCAAGGATTATAATTCTAGGTTCTTGTCTGAAAGGCACCATCACTTCACCAAAGTCAGAAGGACTCAAGGAGCTCTGCTCTTTCCTTGCTCCGTTAGCATGTGGGATTCTCAAGCCAGTGTGTGCACCTACATGTGCATGGATGGCAGCCTACAGGCAGGCTCCCTTCAGCCTTACATCCTCACTTCTAGTCTCCTATTCGTGCCACCACAGAAGTAAAGCTGCGGCAAAACACAGTGACCCCTAATCTATCAGAATTTTCATGAAGAGGAACTGAGAACACACACTTGATAATACTGCTGAGTCCTCAAGCCGTATCTAGGCATCCATCAGCTTAAAAGCATTACTCTTGATATGCCTTGTGCTATGAGATAAACAACATATCTAAAGGGAAAAGTTTGCAGCAGGATAAAAGGAATCTGGCTAGCTTTACAGTCAGCGCTGGCAACTAGGGAACCAAGATTCTCCAGGAAGCAGGTTATATGCTATGAGTTGTTTCCTTACTTCAAACAAGAAACACATGTAGCTCAGAAACACACCAAGCCTTCTGTTGACAAGTTCCTGCTTTTCAGTCACTTACTCTATTTGTAACGTGTCATCCTGTAGTCCAGGCTGGCCTGGGACTCATTATGCAACCCAGGCTAACTTCAAACTCATAACAGTTCTTTAGCCTCAGCCTCTCAATTGGAGGATGAAGAGGAAGATAATTAGAATTTGATGAAGATGAAGATGGCAAAGGTCTGGATACATCTCAACCCTGTTTCCTAATCTTTCTGGGGAAATTACAAAGAAGAGGAGAAGAGCTGATAGACAGTTCATCATATTACTCATTCGACTTTTGATGTTTTGAAAATTCTTACAATATTTTTTTTAAAGAAAACCTGATATAGAACTTTTTTGCATAAAAAAATGAGGCAGACCTCAACCCACTCCTAGTGTCTTCAAGTTTCTTCTATAAGACTTTCTATCTTGAGTCAGCAACTTTTTAACTGGCCAGAGGATAAGTCTCTTGGACAGCCTTGGCTGTGCCTAGCACATGGCCACATCAGCACTGTGCCTGCAGAACACATGCACCATCCAAGGAAATCTTAGCTTCAAAACAAGCCCACAGTTTGCCAAATTCTGTTGTAAACCTCTGACACATTACAAGATACAGTATACAGCCTCTCAAGCCTGTACTGTTCTCACTGCCAGACTCTGTCCTTAAACTGGCCCCTGAATTGTCTGAATACCCTGGAGACTAAGTTCAGAAGTCAGCCTCTCCTGATGGCCAGCATGTCCAGCTGGTTTTCCTGACATTCAGGGAAGTCTTGGGTTGGTCCACCCCTTGTGTGTGGTGGGCCTTGGTGTTGAATCTGTTAGGACCCACCAGTTCCCAGCTCCTTCAGGTTGCATGTACTTTCCAGTTCCATCTACCACACCCCATCTACTCTTGTGGCCACCTGTGGACGCAGCCAGATCCCACCCAGTCCAGATCGCAGACCATTGATGCCCTTACCAGGTCGGGAGGCAGTTCTTGGCTTCTGAGGGATAGAAGGCCGGGCTGCAGGGCTGGGTTTGGGGGACTGAAGGAGGGGCTTTGGGCTGGTGGGCATGCTGGGGGAGCTTCGGGATTTGCAGCTCCCGTCCACTCTGGTTTCAGCTTTGGCATTCTTTTCTGGAGTTCCCAGACCAAAGCGGGCCTCCGGAAGACCTGGGTGCAGTTTAGGTACTAAAATGAGAAGCAGTCCAAAGCACACTTTAAACGTCGAAAGTCACAGAAACCAATCATCTGAATATAGATTTTGTATACACTGTGGTTGTCATTCCTCACTGCAGACCTTCAGAACAAAAACACCCATATCAGCGTGTTTTTAAGAGTCAAATGCTAGTGAATGGCGGGTTTTCTTCATGGAAATATGAGGTCTTCGTAGCACTTCTCACAAAGATCTCACTGGTCCAGAGATTGCCAGGTAGAAGGCAGAGACTGCAGAGGGGCAGAGCTGGGATAAAGGATTCTTACAAATGGCCTAAGCCCGCTTTCCTGTTTGTGGAGTCTGCTGGGCTCATTGCCCACTCTGGACCACCCATTTCAATATCTTTGTGAAGTGTTGCTTTGCTTTGCTAAATAAGCTACTTGAGCAGTTAGTGTCTCTTTGCTGAACTGAGAAACGCTTGCAATAAGATATCAAAGTTTACACTGTATCATGCAGCCCTCTGTTCAAATGCAAGAAGGTAATTTTCCACAAATTTGAAGCCTTCCAGCCTTTCTGAGGTTCACTGGCACACCAACAGGAAGTGCCTCAGTTCCACACAACTACCATCCCATTAGGGATCTGGCTACAAGCGGAAGGAGGAAGGTTGTGCTGAGTTATGATCTGATCTCGGGCTTAATAGAGAAAACAGTTCTGGAAATAGCATCCGATCCTTCTCTATCCACACTGCAGCTGCTGTCTGCCGTTAACCGTACAGCTGGCAAGAAAGGTAAGCATTCTAACAGCAACTTGCAAGTTATCCCCAGTTTCCATCCAGTGTAGCTCATCTCCTTCTGCATACCTAAAAGCATGGGAACAATCCCCTGGGCGATTCCATTCACATCTGAGTTACAGGAGAAGAGTATTTCCTCCTGGCAAGCAAACAACTTCCCTCCATCAATATTCCATGTGCAGCTTACTGTTAAAAACATCAAACTTGGTCCCTTCACTAGAATGTCCACAATTTAGGAATTCGCCAAAAAACAAAAGTGTGTGTGTGTGTGTGTGTGTGTGTGTGTTGGGGAGGGTGGGTGGATCTGAATTTCCTCCATTGGGGAAGTTAAAAAAAAATGTCTCCTAAGATCATGGCTACAGGGATAGAAGCACACCCCCAGGAGAGGCTGGGACAGGAAGGGACTGGTGTTTCCGGTTAGAGGGGAAAATGCTGAGACTTGCTTTTTCCATTTGTATTTTACTTCATCCAGTCACAGGTGACTCCTAAAATCAGAAGGGGAATGGCTTTCCTCAGGGGATGCAAGCGAATAGCTCTGCTTACCTGTTCCACCTCCATCTAACCGCTCTGTGTTACTCAAGACAGGGCTGGAGGGATCCTGGGAGATGACGTCATTGATGAGCTTCTAAAAATGCAAGACAACGCCCCCGCCCCCAAAAGCACATTTGAGATATAAGGGAAAAGAAAAAAACAACAACAATAGAGCAGATAATGAGTACCAAAAGGCAATAGCACTCTGTCACCGTTGAAGGGGCCAATCATATGCACAAGAACAGTACTCCCAAAATTCACATTAGGGGTCACAATCTAGAAAGATAAAGGATTCCAGGCTTGCTTTCCAGGAATTCTGGCTTTTTATATGTTGCGTTTGCTTTTCTTTTGCTTTTAGATTGTATCTCGCTCTGTAGCCTAGGCTACCCTAGTATTCACTATAGGTAGTCCGGGCTTGCCTCAAACTCATGATCCTTGGCTTCCCAAATGCTGGGATTTTAGCTATGCCACCATATGCCAAGCTTCTAGGAAATCTACTTTTAAAAGCGAGAGAGAGAAAATGCTCAGCAGGTAAAAGCACCTTCTGCGAAGCCTGAAGACCTGTGTTCAATCCCTGGAACCAGGAGGTGGAAGGACTGATTCCTGCAAGTTTTCCTGTAACTTCCCTACACAAGTAGACACTACTCAATAAAAGAAGCTTTGAAAGCAACTGGAACCTTTCCAGCCTCAGTGTACCACCCAGGCCTAAGGGGCTCCTGGTGCTCTAGGTCTCCCTTGCTACTGACGCAGAACCACACGACACACAGACTTGCTGTTAGGAGTCAAATGCGGGTGACAAGGCTCTTAACTAATTTTCTATTGTTTTTGCTTCCCTGCAGTGCAGAGAGTGACACCCATGGCCTTACACATGAGACCAGCACACAGCACTGAGCTACACCCTCAGCTCCCAGTGGAATTTGCTAAGAATCCCGCATCGGGGAGAAGTTTGTGACAGCCCAGGAGGGGCAGGCTGTGGCCTGAGGGTAGAAGAGAAAGCAGCTTTCTCCCTCATAGTGCAGAAGGCCGCACTATAAAGAAATACAAGAGGCGGAATCAAAATCCCAGGGTTTGTGTAACATCCAAGAATCCAAGGATGACTTGCACTGTCTCTTATGCAGCAACCCAAAATGCAACGTGATGGTTCCTGCCTATAGTTTCATTAGTATGAAGACTGAGGAAGAAAGACTGTGGCCAAGTTCAAGGCCAGCATGGGCTACATATTGAGGTGAAAGTCAGCCTAAGCTACAGTGTGAGAGTCTCAAAAAAAAAAACGTTTAAATTAATAATTAAAATACAAATGAGGTGATCAGGCAGAGTAGCAGGCGCTCTGGCCTGCAGTTTGATTACCATTCTTCACTTAAAGAACAAGAATCTGGAGCCCACTCCTAGATTCAATATGGCATCCATAGTCTAAGTGATTAATCCCTATGACACATTGGTCTTCATGCCCTTGTTAGGAGGTGGCAATGAGGTGGAATGGTCTCTCTTGCAAGACCGCAGCACCAGGTTTTGAGGGTGCTGAGTAGATCCCAGTACCACTGTGACTAAAAGCACATGATCTGCCACTGCTATGAATAAGTGACCTCAAGAGAAGAGGGTCCCATGCCAGGCCTCTGTGCAGGCATCTGCAGAGCAGAGTGCACCAGGCCATGAAGGCCAATCTCTGTGGGATCTCCCTATCTCTGCTCTTCCAAGGGCACGCCCAACTGTATACCAACCATGCACTCTCATGCTAGTATCTTTGTAAACAGTTCAGGAAACACTGGAATGCTACTTTTTGAAGAGCTTTTGTTATTCTGATACAATAGCCATACCTGGCCTAAACTGTAACTGCGGAAGTTTTTTTTGTTTTTTTTTTTTTTTTTTTTTTTTTGAAATAAAGGCTGTTTAAAAGAACACTAGGTGGCACTATGAGGACACACATATAAATGTGGACAGAGCACAAACACTAACCGGGAAGGATTCTGTCACTCAGAGCCAATTTATGCATCAGTCCCAAGCACAGGGAAAACCACTCCTGAATTCCTGTCTTTCCACCTTGGCTTGTCAGAGGAAAGAGTGATAAACAGTTCGTTAGAAAAACACAGCATTTGCTGTAGTAAAATTTATAAATTACTCAGTCATCTGGCTCAGGGAGGGGCATGTAGTATCTTTTTCAGTATCCCGTGAGGTGGATGTCTCCCAGCACCTCCGTTACGTAGGCTCTCCCAACTCTGGACTATCGGAAGGGTGTGCGGGAGGTGGGGGAGTAGAGCAGGTACCTGTAGCTGGGAAATTGCTGGCTAGGAGGAGAGCTATGGTGAACAGCTGCAGTCTTACGGGATGCAGAGTTTAATAAAAAACAGATGTCAAGGGGTAATGCAAGAGCCCTCTGTATCTGCCGTGTAGTCCACTTTTTCCTTCCTCAAAGTCAAGGTCCACTACGGAGAACCATTTTTTTGCCTCCAGCAGAACAGATGCACAGCTTCCCTTTCTCTGGGGGAACTTCTAGAGCTCAGGATGATGCATACAACCTGGGCACATTTATCTTAACGATCACACAGGGATACGTTCCTCTAAGAAGCTATAGAAGAAAGCGGACAAAATTCCTGAAGAGCTCAACGCAGTAATGCAGCTGCAAATGTGGCTGGCAAAAGACCCTGCTGGCTTCATCTCCAGCACCACAGAGCTTAAAGGAATGGAGGGAGGAAGGCAGGTAAACTATCTTCCAATAGGACTCTGAGGAGACTCAACATGTTTCTTTTCCTTTTTCAAACACTTCCTTTGCAGTGCTGCACAGTGCCTCTGAGACTAACCTGGGCCACACGGGAAGCCTGAGGTGAGCCTGTGTCACTGTGTGACAGTCTGACTGTAAACAACCAACAGATTAAACAAAGAAGGCACCTCCCGGGGCAGGCGAAACAAGCAAGTGGCTTGGGAACTTATTCTCTGGGAACATTACTTTAGGGTTTTACATTTTAAAAACATTTTCTTTGTAAGGTTTATTTCACATGAGTGTTTTGCCTGCCTGTGCCTGTGTGTGCACCTCATGCATATATGGTGTCCGCAGAGTTCAGAAGAGAGTATTCCGCTCCCTGGAACTGGAGCTGCTGACGGCTGTAAGCCACCATGTGGGTGCCACGAACCTGGACCAGGGTCCTCCACAAAAGCAACAAGTGCTTTTAATTACAGAGCCATCTTTCCAGCACCCAGCATTGACCTTTTAATTTAACCAACAGGCTATTTTAATGTACCTCTTTTCCCCATAAAAACAGAGAAGCAAACGTGCACAAACCTAGACAAAGGGCCCCTTTCTCACCTTCTGTGCACAGGCAGCTCTCCGCTCCTGCTTGGCCTTCATCTCGGCCAGCAGCCCGCTGCCCATCACCTGCACATAGCGCCGGCCACTCTGGGGGCTGCCCCTGCTGTCACTGCGCTCGACTCTGCCTGCTTCCTCCGCCAGGCCCTCCTCCAGGGGTTCTGGCGTCTTCATCTCCTCTGTGCGTTCTGCAGCACCATTGTGCTCTGCTGCCTTCACGTCCTTCCTGGCGGTGTCCACCGGTGGGCTCCGGATCGAGCCTTTCGGGGAGGAGAGCTCTTCTGTCATCAGGACCGTAGGTGGCCGCTCAGATCTGGAGCGTGATTTGATTAGGTTGAGAAAGCCACTTCTCCGAGAATCCCGTTTTTTCTTCTCATCTCCTTCGCCCAGTTCCTGGGCATCTGAGCTGCGTGTCGATGACCTCCTGCACCATAACCAAGACGCAGAAACCGTTAGCTTGCCCATGAAGACAAGTCCCATGAAGACTTAGTGAACATGAAGGTGACTGCCTTCATGTACATGTGTACATGAACAGCCACATTCTATAGCACTTAAAACGTTAAGGCTGTGCTGAGAGACACAAAAAACGGAGAAGCTTTCTACGAAGAGGCAGGACTGAGGACAGACATGTGCTTTGCAATGATGAAAGGCTTAAGTGTGAACCTCTCCTAGGCTGGCTTGAGACATAACTGGGCAACTGTCCTGTTTAATTAGGGGGATACTGAAAAAGGCTTCCTTGACCATCTGTAATTATTAGGTAATTGTTGAAATCCAACCCTTAGTGCTCAACCTTGGCAAATATTTGGATTTTTGCTTAAATGGAACAAATTGTTGGAAGAAGCAACAAAAGACTCAAGGCCAGGGTGCTGGCGCAGTACCTGTGAGTAGCAATTGTTAGATGGAGTAGGAGGGTCAGGAGTTCAGCTATAAAAAGTCGAAGGTCACTTTGAGCTACAGGAGACCCTGAATCTAAAAACAAAACTGAATAGAATAAGCTTAGATTTTGGGATAAATTTCCAGGAAGAAAAACAAAAACAAAACTTGGAAAATGGAGAAAAATGACAAACAAAATGAGTGCCACCAGGAATCAGCCATTCATGGCTGGAGATTGGATCTCCACTCCGTTCCTTAGAAGTACCATCAAAAGCAGAGCCAGGGACAGACATAAAATGAACAACAAAACCCCCCCAAAGCCACACAGGTGAGGCAACACCACTTGAAAGCCCCCAAAGCACAAAACAGCTTCCTGGCTCTGAGCAACTGAAATATAAACTGGAGATCCAGGAGAAGAAGGAGCCTCAGAGGCTGCAGACGGCAGGGTAAGGGCACTTTCGGAAGCAAAAGTGGCTGGGAAGATTGAGAAATGGCTAAAAGCCAATTTGAGAATTATTTCCTCTTCCCCAACTACAGGGTCAACAATGCTCACCCACCCCAAACCCACTGCTTGCAGAATGAACCAGAGAAACAATGCAACTGAGGGCATGTGACACAGCCACCACACAAATAAAAGCAAAATGAGACAGAAGTGGGACATTTAAGGTTAAACAGTACAACTGAAGAAACACCTCAGAATGTGGGGAGGGTATGCTAAGAAACTGGGAGAGAGAAGCGGAGAATATTAACAGATTAAAAGAAGAAAAGCCAGGTTGGCTTAAAGAAGTTTAGGAGAAAGTATATAGAGGAAATAAGATAGACTTATGAAAGAAATAATTAAAAAACTCCAGAACTGGCCCAGGTGGCATGGGTACAGGGGAGCTTGTGATACGATTCTGAAGTTTCTGCACAAAGCATTGTATACCTGGAACTCCAGCACATGAGAGGCTGAGACAGGAGGATGGCTGAGAATATGACTTTTCCATGGGCTGCTTAGTGAATTCTAGACTAGCATGGGATACAGCTTCAAAAAATAAAACAAAACAGCAAAGCAAACAATGACACAATATAAAACAAGAAAAGATTCTGAAGTGATAAGGAACTTCATCAAGAAGGAATTCAGCAATTCATCAAGAGAGACTTTTTCATTTTTTTTGTTTGTGTTCATGTTTCTTGACTCCTTTAAGTTGAAAATTTAGTCCTCCTCTCATCCTTGTATTATAAAACAACCAAAACCAAAACAAGCTCTTGAAGGATTATATTGCACTGTATAGATTTGCACAGGGAAGGGAGGGCGTGAAGCCAGGAAGTGGCAGGACTTAATGTGTGAGAGTGAGGCAACACAGGAAACTATCAAAGAATCAATGACACATCGGTGGGTCTGGAAAGACAGGATTCTGCCAAGTTTTGCTATGCTAAGCTGCACGACCAGTGTCGAAGACGACCAGTAATTAGGCGTTAAAGCCTATAAGCGTCTATAAGCTCCATTACTGTGGATATGAGACTTTACTTATTTCCACTTTGCCATCCTGCAGAGGATAGATAAGACTCATCAATCCACAGCCCAGACAAGCCCTTCTGTAGCTCTCCCATCTGTCAGCCCTCGGCTATCTGCAAGGTTTAATACATCCTGAACTTCAACTCTAGGGCGAAGCGTTCTTCACAAACACAATCCAAACTTGGAGTGTGTTCTGGGATGTATCAGCCCTTGTTTACAGACTGAATAATTTCAGAAAAATCATGTATAAAGATAGGAGGGTTTTAAGTTGAACAATTTGTTTTGAGGTGTGGTTGTGGCGGGTCACGTAGCTCAGGCTGGCCTGGGATTCATTATGTATCCCAAGCTGACTTAAAATTTATAATAATCCTTCTGCCGCAATCTCCTGAGTGCTATGACAGTAAGCAATTGCCACCATGCCCAGTCAAGATAAAGTATCATTGACCTATCTTCTAAGGGAACGGCATCCCAGTAATAAGAAAATGTAGATGAAAGTCTTTAGAGGGCACAGTAGTTAGTTTTCTTGTTGTGATAAAACATCCAGAGACAAGAGCTGTTTAAGGAAGGGAGGGTTTGCTCTGCTCACAATTCAAGGGTAGAGTCCAGCATGGAGAGTCAGTGTGAGTTATACATCCAAAGGAAGGAGGGCACATGCTCAGTTGGCTTTCTCCTTTTTGTGTGGTCTAGGGCTGGATGCAATCAGGCTGCCTCTGCTTATCTCAACTAACCTAATCTAGATAATCCCTCAAAGGCATGCCCAGAAGCTTGTCTACTAGGCAATCAGGCTGCCAATACCAACCACAACAGAGGGTAGGTTGGAGGGCCCTGCACCTCCTCTCCTGCCATTTTACTGTCCAATTTGCCAAAAGACCAAACAAACAAGAACGTCCAAAGGATGAAGCTCCAGTGTCTGATGCTCACTGTCTTGAAGCCGACCCTTCCAGATGAAGATGAGAAAAGCCCCTGGCATAGCAGATGTTTGGCCTGGATGTGATGTGGACTGCTCCAGAATAGGGCCCACAGTCCTTTGCTCAGCAGGTCAGCAGCAAGAGCCTGAGACTCTGAATTTCTAACACGTTCCCAAGCAGCACCAATGATGCTTTGTCGGAGACCACATTTTAGAAATCCAACCAAACAGCGAACCTCTTGTATGAGACTGTGATGTCTATGTCAATTATAATCATTAGTCATTTAAATGTGAATGAAATACTGTTTTTAATGAAATGACTGGGAGCTTACTTGCAATCCATTTTAGTCACTTTCTTGGTGAAAAATTCATCCACGCCTTCATCCACTCTGCCCATGAGGCCATTCTGTTCTCCATCATGGGGGATGATGCTGCTGGAACAAACCTGCAAAGGAAACAAGACTTCACTCTAGAGTCAACTCAAGGTACCTTCGGTTCTGCTGGATTCAACAACCCAAAGCATGGCCACGTCTCGCTACAGTAGGTACCACGTGATTTACAGGAACAGAGGCCAGATGTAGAACCATTAGCCTAACTGAGGAAGAAACAGGCGTACAGACATCCTGAGCATGATGTTGGTGATTGTGGAGGACAGGGTTTGGTGACACCAGGCACATTCAACGTGGTGGGGCAGTAGATGGGGATGGGTTTTAAGACAGTCTCTGCTAGGAGCCCTGGCTGGCCTGAAACTCATGTGGATCAAGCTGGCTTTGAACTTGCTGCAGTCCCTCTGCTTCTGCCTCACCAGTGCTTCGATTACAGGCATGGATCACTATATCTGTCCCAGAAACAGGTTTACAGAATGTACTGTAAGCAACCCCTGATAGGGCATTTGTATGACTGAACCAAACAAGCTGTGAAAAGTTTGTGTTTGAAAAATGCTACAAAGTACAAAGACGACTATAATCCCAGGACCGGGGAAGCAAGAGGCTAGCCGGGAGTGGCTTCCGTTAGCTGCCTTACCAGTCATTCCCTTCTCTGATCCTATAAATTAAAGATTATATTTTTCCTCATTCAGTTTTTTTCCCCCTCAGATCTTTTTTGTTCTTCCTGCCTCGAAACAGAATTCACAACTGTCCCCAGCGTTCCCTGGTAGTGTGGAGAGCAGGGAAGAAGAAGCTGAATGAAATGCAGCTCCCCTCAGGATCTGTGGCTTACGGGGCTGGGCTGCACCTTCCCGGTCCCTCCAACACACCCCTGCCATTTTAGAGATAAAGAACAGAGGAGACAGGTTGAGAGACATCCAGCATGGCTAGATACATCCCAGGGGGCACTTTAAAAGGCAGCGGTTAAAGGGAAGTTCAGGCACAGCTGGGCTGAGAAGAACAGCCAAAACCCAGACTGTGATGAATAGAATCAGGTCAACAGAGTTCAAGGCCAAAGGCACCTGCTGTTAACACTCATTTTCTAATAAAAGGAAAAGATGTGATGTGGTTCTAGTCTCTCATGTCAACCACAATCAGTATCAGATCTGAAGAGCATTGGAGAGGGAGAGCAGGGATCACCTTGCATGAACAGGACCACACTGGGGAGCTGTCTAGTTTTCTCAGGTAAGTCACGGATGCTGTGCCCCTCCAATGAATGCGTACTCTCTAAAAGGCCAATTTGTGAATGGTTAGAAGGTACATGGGTGCACACCGTGAGCATGGAGGCTCATGCCTGTAATCCTGTACTGGGAAAAGGTCAGACTGGAGGGTAGTCACGAGTTCTAGGCTAGCCTGGGCTGCACAGTGAACTCGAGGCTAGCCTGCAAGTACCAAACAAGATCTTGTCTCAGAAAGTAAAGCCAAAAGAAAATACTACTGAAAAGCAGAGAGTGAGACATAGTTGATAGTAGCTGTGAGCAATTCAAATTCTAATTCTATTGTAAAATGATGGTTTTGACCACATGGACAATATTCTATGAAGATATAAATTACTAAATGGCCCCAAGAACAATTTGAAGGGCTGGCCGGCTGTCTACCATACATGTCCAAGAGACTCATACATACTTTAGTAAGTGAGAGGAAAAGGAAACCACTAAACTATTCTTGGTTTTACAAAGATCTTGCTTTTGCATGAGCACAGAGGCAGTCAGAGTGTGGAGAGCAGATGTGCCTGAGTGATCCAAATATGATCCAAGAGTAAACTTCAGTGTGCATATCTATATGCAGGCGTGATAGTATGACTACCTTTGGCTCAGTGTCAGTGGGCATCTGGGTCAGCCTTAGTTTCCAGAAGCTCAGGGCGCAGCGGAGGTAAAAGGCAGAGTGCAGACATGTCAAGATCATCTCAGGACGAACTGAGTGCACAGTCCTGGCAAATAACCTGATGGTCACATCAGACAACTATTGGGACTGAGCACTAGTAATCAAGTGGCCAAACCTACTTTGTCCCGTTATGTTTCTCTCCAGATATTTGCTTCTTCTTGATTCTCACCTGGAAAAATGTGGGGGATCCCGAATAGGGCTGTGGTAAGAGACAGTTCTCAGGAAACAGTGAACCTTGAGAAATCATATGGTAATTAATGTGCCTTCAGTGCATATCCGAGAATGGCCGTACTGCTCTGTGGTTCCTGGGTTTTGTTACTATTGTTGTTCTTGTGTCATGTAGCCCAGGCTGGCTTCCAGCTTGATATGCACTAACAGATGTCCTGATCCTCTTCCCTTAGCCTCGCAACTGCTAGGGTTACAGGCATGAACCGCCGTGCCTTGTTCTTTTAATTTTTTAAATGCAAGAAGAACAGCTTGTACATGACTGTGGGATTGAGCCCCAGCATCAGAAAAGCAAAACAAACAATCAAACGCACAAAATCTTTCTCCCCAAGGTCACAAAGACACTGAACCCATCATTTCACGTTCAAGTCATGCCGCTAATGATTGCAGAAGTGGCGGAGCCAAAGAGAAAGGGACCATTTACACAGCAGACATCTGGAATCCAGAGTCTGAGCCAGCACAGGGAAAACTGTCTCTTGATTGATAAGGCCCTCTCCCTTATTTAAAATAAAACACCAATAAATGCTTTTATATATCTAAGCTAGTATAACAAGGTAGTAGGAATCCAAAATCAAATGAGCTGGAAGAAAAAAAAATATATATATATATACTAGAGGTTTGTTTTCTGCTTTCTGAAACTATATCAAGCTCTTCAGATTCAAATGAAGATATCTAAACACAAACCATCTAAAGTAAACTATTGACCATGTGGGTAAGTGGAGAGAGCCTTGAGCCCTCTATACTTTCAGCTATCCCCAATTTATCCACCAGACACTGCTGAGCAGGCAGGCACATCCCTATAGGTAATGAGTCACAAGCCACGACTCCCTGGAATTCACAGGCAATGGGGGGACAGTTGGGACTGTGATGAGAGCCATCTCAGGGTAAACAGCTATTCTTATAGTGGGTTTCACAAGCTGTTCACAAGGCACAAGTCCGAGAGAAACACTTTTCCCTGCAGCTGTCATCTCTGTGGGACCAGAGGGGAAGAGGCAAGGAGGGCTTCCTAGAAGAAGCTTTGTTTCCATGGAGACCTGAAAGACTTGTCAGTCATCATCGCTCCAGGGAAAGCAGTGAGGAAAGAGGATGGAGAGAAGCCAGAAGCCAGGATGGGAGTTAGGGATGATTAAGTGGATGGCTATAGTGGGTAGTGATAGTGGCAGCCAGGTTTTTGTGTGTGTGTGTGTGTTTTTTTAATTGGTTTGTTCCATTTTGTTTTGTTTGAGACAGGGGCTCTCTAATGTAGATCAGGCAGGCCTTGAACTCACAGAAACCCACCTGCCTCTGCTTCTCAAGTGCTGGGATTAGAAAGATGTGCCACTATGCCCAACAACAACCATAGTTTTGAACATGTTGGCTGGTGGGACCCAATGGGCAACTGAGGATAAGTAAGAAAAAGCAGGATGACGGGGAAGACAGGACCTCAGTCTGGAAACTGTTTAGCCTCAGTTGTTCCAGAACATTCCAGGTCTGAAAATGCAGAGCTCAGCAGAGGCTCTGGAAATGGGTTCACATGGAATCACCCAGGAGCAGAGAAGACACACACAGGCCAGACCAGAGAGCTGAGGGCTCTCTTCTTTTCTGTGCACACACGTTTGGATGTATGAGTGTTAGCACCTGTGTGGCAGTTACAGGGCAATCTTGGGTGTCAGTTATCGTGTTCACCTTCTTTGAGACAGGGTCTCTTTGCTGTCTGCTGCTACATAATCTAGGCTAACTGACTTCCGGGGACTCACCCGCCTCCATCTCTGTGAGGTCTCCACTGAGAAATGTCCCCCGTGGGCTCATATTTGAGCGCTTACCTGAACCCCAGTTGGTGGCACTCTTTTAAGGCTATGGAAGCTTTAGGAGATAGAGGAGAGGATGAGGGGCCGAGGAGCCCTGTGGACACCTACCGCGGCCTGTGTGGGCTGCTGCTTCTTGTTCCGCTTGGGCCGTAACTTGGTGAAGTGCTCCAGTCTCCTGCTTTCCTCTGAGGGTAACTCGGAGATTAACCCGGAGCTTCGCTTCTCCGGCCGGACTGACGGGAAAGGCGGGTCTTCGATGTGAATCGGCACCTCTTCCAGGGCTTTATCAAGATCAAACTCCATTTCTGAAATCAAACGAATCCCAAAGCCAAGGGTGATGCAAAGAGAGCGCTAGAACACACATGAGGGCCAGGCCTGTTAGAGCACAAGTATAACCCCAGAGCTGGGGATGCCAGGGCAGGGGGCTGCTGCGCTCAGGCCCATCCGGGACACACACTAACACCTTCTCAGAAACAGAACAAGAAAAGGAAGGGAAAAAAAGGAGAGAGGAAGAAGGAGGAAAGAAAAGACATAGGGAGGGGAAAAAGTGAAGAAAGAAAGCAGGGAGGGAGGAAGGGGGAAGAGAAAGGAAGAAACCCAATAGAGAAACCCAATTCCATCATCGGCAATATCAAAGCCCCAAGAAATCTGTATAAGTGATCTTTTGCTTTGTTCTGTCTTTCAGAATAACTCTGTAGCCAGGCTCACATGGAACTCACTATGTACCCCGGCTGACTTCCAACTCATGTCCATCCTCCTGCCTCAGTCTCTCAAGTGCAAAGATTACAGGAATGAGCAACTGTACCTGGCCTCTGGAAGTAATTTCTAAGTCAACTGCTCCCTACCAAGTATCCAAATTTTTCTCACTTTATAGAGTGAATCCCTGTGGAAAGTGCAAACTTCCTGTTGGGATGTTTTCCAGTTAAAAGGAAGTGGCTGGCATTGGTACCACACTCACCAAATGCCCTGGAGACAGGCCGCAGCATTCGGCTGTGGATGCTCTTCCTCTTGGACTTGGGAGTCATCTGGCAATCAGATAGAGGCAGGACTTAGGTAAGCTGGGAAACTGGTCTCTCAAACCGCAAGGTATCACGGATCAGCTGGTTAAAATAGGTTCCTGTTTCACTGCTTAACAACGGCTCCGCTGTCGCAGCTGCTGGGATGGCTCAGGGGGTGCATCGCCGAATTTCTAAATGTTTAGAACTTTCCGAAGTGATTCAGCCAACTGCTCTTTTATCCTGCACCCCTAACCAGTTAAAATCTATTCCTACAGCTGAAAAGAACAGGGGATGATAATTTAACTCTCAGCCGTACTCGAGAATGTCAAAATGGAGATAAGGAATCCGACTCAAAGACTGTAAAAATCAGTCACAAAGCACTGAAAGAGATTATTCATGACTGTAATTGTCGGTTGTCACAGCAACATTGGTGCAGGCACACGCATGCAGTCTCTGTGTGTCAGTTCGATGCTGTAGGTGGCTTAACTCTTTGTTTCTCAGCGTGTCATCAAAATTTTAGGGCAGTGTGCCACAACTCAAAACCACCCATCAGCTGGCACTTCTCAGTGTTAGATCCTGCAGGAGTCCCTTTAAAAACTATATCCCAAAGCAAGGTCAAACTTGAGAAAACTTTCCAAGGACTGGTGTCAAGCAAGGACCATCTCACACCTGTCATCCGGTGGACCTTTTACCACTACCCATACTTGTGGTCCAGCACGGACACGGTGGCTCCTACCACCCTCAGCTGTCCCCCTCAGAAGATACACACATGGTGGGGCTGGGAAGCCCCTAGGGCTCAGCTATACAGATAAGTCTGAAGGTCAACTCAGGTCAGGGGAGGGGTAATAGACACTAACAAGTCTGAACTGTCAGAGGATCTAGGCCAAGACCGGAACCAGGGAAAGGGCTAGCCCAGTGACCTTCCTACCATGCCACTGCTACCAATAGAGATGATAGTCAGCAATTGTGTTTAAACCAGCATGATGCTAATTTTTTTTTTTTTTAATTTCATACTTTTGTTGTGTTTTGGGGAGGGGAGGGTTTTTGAGGCAAGGTCTTATTAGCCTCAGACTCACCATCCTCCTGCCTCAGCCTCTTAAATATTGGGATATTAGGCAGATGCCACCATGCTTGGCTCAAGACAAAACAAAACAAAAAAACTGACCCACATGCGAATTTAGAGAAGACAGAGCTGAAAGAGTGCTGCATACTTTGATATAATGGTTGTCAGCTAAAGCTTCCTCAAAGTCTATATTCTTTAAAGGAATAATTGGTTCATACTAGCCTGGAAAAGCAAACAACCTTTTAGTTTTGACAGTTACCCTGGTTTTAATAAAAAAAAAAAAAATCCAATTTGCTGTTATTTAATGTGGGAGAAAAGGGACACACACTCCTGAAAGACTAGTATAAGTCACACTGGAGGAGGCCACAGGCGCATAGACTAAGCAAGAATCTCACTCTCCAGACTAAGCAAGAATCCAGCATGATCTATTTATAAGGAAACCTCTGACAAAATACATGTGTTTAGTTCTTCAGAGCTTTATTTACCCTGCATACAATTCTGGTAGTGAAAAGATCAATAGGGAAGCCAGAACTCTTCCCTCCCTAAAACACAACAAAAAAATGAAATAAAAAAAATTAGTATCATCAACAGGCATATGGTATTCACCGATGATTCCAGCACAGGCTTCCCAACTCAAGGCCAGCCTGGCCTATAGCACATTACAGAACGTTTAAGGTAACCATAACTACACAAGAATGTCTGAAACACACACACACACACACACACACACACACACACACACACACACACCAAACAAACAAAAACCCAAAACTAAGCCTGGAACAGAATTTCATTCAGATGATCATAACTAAAAAATTAGTTTAAAATGTATGTATGTTCCTTCTCAGACTTGCCATGCCTCTGGATATTAGGTTTTACAGAGAGCATTCATGGATAAATACAAACAAGCAAAGAAACAAACAAACAAAAAAAAGTTAGTCAGGTTTCCCTCTTCTTAAACCCATTAGGACAGATAAGAAATGCATATGAAATGTATCAAAATTATAACATTTTATATCCATATGCTAGCTTTAGTATATGAAAAGGGATACACATATATAATTTCATGTAAAAAATAGGTAATATCTAGAAAAAAGAAACTCATTTGCAAACTTGATGACCCATCTATAAATAACTCGTTTAGCTGAATCTAATTTTGGAGACACATTAAAACATAAAAGTCATTGGGCATTTCCATTTCTGATATGAATCAGAATGAAATTAGTTTTCTCATTATGGTTGTAGTTTCCAATGTTTCAAAGCCTGTTGTAGGTTTCAAATATAAGAAAAAAAAATGCTTTCTAGTATATTGCATTCTGTTCCTACATTGTGAGTGAGTTTTTGTTTATTAGTTCTTCATTTTCTTTTGTCTGTTTGATTTTATTTTTCAAGACTGCTTTGGCTATCTTGAACTAGTTCTATAGACCAGACTGACCTGTAACTCATATAGATCCCACCTGCCTCTGCCTCCAAAGTGCTGGGATTAAAGGTCAAAACAACCCCTGCAAGGCACATAAATGGCCTTTCTAAGAGCAGCTAACTGCTAATTACATTTCCCATAAAAGTCCTTTGTTGATCTTACTATTTGTTAGTTCCCAAGTTTTGCTATACTTAGAAAGGTTTTTGGCTAAAGTGAAAAACTACAGCTCAGAGCATTTCTACACAGAGCATCAAGAAGGCGCCCAAGCCTTGAGTACTACCTCAAGCCTGTAATCTCACCATGCAAGGGGCTGAAGCAGGAGGATTGATGCAAGTTTGAAGCCAGAGTCTATACACCAGACCCTGTCTCAAAACAACAAAAGTCTCTCCAATGTCAATGGCGTCAATCTCGTTCTCTCAACTTTACCTCTTACAAGCTATGGCTTTTCTTTGCAATGCTTTCTTAGTTTTATGAAAAGTACAGACTTTCTTAGTCTCACTTGCTTATTCTTGTTTCCATAGAACCTAAGCGAGGACATAGAAAGACCGACTTTCTGCACAAGGGCTTGTTTGGCAGCAAATATTCAGCTTCTCTAGAAATCATTTGTTTGCACTGTTCTTCCTCACACTGCTTATGCTGATAAACTCTGACCTGGGAGGAGGGACGGCAGTGATCCTTCTTTAAAACGCTGAGTGTTCCTCTCCTTTTGTACCAAAGGAAGAGGGTTAATAACTCCTTCAGATTGCAGCTTAGCCCTCATCCACTGTCTTTGGACACTTGTAGCTAAGTGAATTTCTGAGCCAAGGAAATCACAAACTGCTCATCAGATAAAGGATATGGACAGCTGAAGCGTGGGGGGGGGGGGGCAAAGTTAGCTTTAAGACCAGAGAAAAGCCAACTAACTTTTAAAAATGCATCTTATGAGTAAGAAAAAGAAAAAAATATGCTAAATCTTCATTTTAAAATGCAATTTTAGAAGGAAACCCTAAATATAGACTTTTTCATCTTGACACCACTGAGTGCCAATAAATCTACACTGTGCCATAAGCGTGAACAGCCCACAAAGGCTGTTTCTGAAGAGACCAAAAGCAGGGTGGATATCTACATTACTTGGGAATCTTACTCATTAGATCTAATTTTTATTATGAGTGTAAAACCATTCTGCTTGCAGTTCAACAAAGATTTGTCCATGGTAAACACAATTTACAAAGTAATGATAGAAATTGGTTCATAGCGCTTTCCCCTTCTCAGACCCACTTCTAACAGGTGATCCCCAAGCAACCTGGCTTTCAAAAATGAGACTTAAATTGCTTGAATCACCCTAAAGATAAGATATGGTAGTTTTCTTGTTTATTAGACTTTTTTTTTTTTTTGCTAAGTTTGCACAAAAAGTAGCATAGAGTGCTCTTATTCTAAGATCAAGAACCAAAATTATTATTTTTTTCCTTCTCTAGGGCAAAAGGAAAAAAAAAATAGTAATCCCTCCCTAACCCCAACAAAACCAATACCAGTTGAGGAGCAGATTAGGAAAGCCTAGTATGATAAAAAAAAAAAAATCATAATGCTAATTTTCTATAGTCCTGGGCCTGCAATAAGCGATATGACAAGAATGAGAAATATCTGGACATTTTGCTCGTTGAGTCTTAAGAACTGCCTCCCTTCCCCCCTGAAACCTGGCATCCTCTTCATCAAAGTTCTTACTCTCAGGCACCCAGCTGGGGAGATTTTCAATTTATCCCCTGGTTAATTTAAGACTGAACCATCTGGTCAACCCCAATCCTCTCTCTAAATTGTTGCCTATTTCATTGAGGATCTGCTGATGGAATGACAACATCTCCCGGGAGGCCAGCCAGACAGTGCAGAAGCAAATGGAGCATGAGGATGCCACGCAGCGCGGCCAGGGACTGCAGCGCCACTGGAGGATACTTACACTTGTACAGCAGAGAGTCTCCATGCAGCAAAAGGAAAGGAAAAAAAAATATGAATGGAAGAGAGACAAAGCAACAGCATCACGAGAAAAGGGGAGGGAGGGAGAGAGAGAGAGAGAGAGAGAGAGAGAGAGAGAGAGCATTTACAAACAAAGCAGAAAAAGCTAAAATATGCAAAAAAGCCATCACAGCAAGGGAACAGGGTGAGGGTGGTGCCAAGTTAGTGACATAAAGCTTCCAGCCTTGTGATGAGCAGAAGCACAGTTAAAGCTTGAGAAATTCCAGTTCTTACACACAGATATTAACTCTTTCTCTAGGTATGTCTCCAGATCTACAGTGACATCATCAGCTGCCAGGGCACTCGGTGGGCAGAACACTGGACAGATATTAGAAAACCCCCTGGGTATCTGCGTAAGCAGTGATGTCCCCTCAAAGGCCACCTATCTCCTCCTTTGCTCTTCATGGCATTTCAGGAGCGAGGCGCTTGTAATTCACCCAGTTATCGAAGCTTCTTCCACACACTCTGAAGCTGGGATCTTACACAGTCAGCCAGTCAAGGCGCCACTAAACATTTCCCGGTGGGAATTAATATTTTACATTAAAACTCTAAATCCAT